TATAAGCAATCGTGAATTGACACCAGTCATATGTGTAGTACAAACACACTAGGACTTATACCAGGTACAAGTTTTCTTATAATATTAAATCAAAATACAATTATTATACCATTTCTATTTAGATCAAGTTAAGGATTTAAAACATACGACGCATAAAATATTAAACATTAAAAATTACATAAATTTATTATTAAAACATTACTCTATCTCTCAACGTTATAGTTTTATGTAGAATAAATTAATTTGGCCTTAAATTAGTTGAGGACGGTGAATGCGAGGTTAAATTAATAGTTAGACGAAAAACTAATTAACCTGCCTTAAGTAGGGATTAGTTAGATTTTATGTACGTAATACAAATTACATGTCGAGTTAGTTCTTCTACTAGAACCGATTTTACTTCCACCTACAGTACATATTATAGTAAAACGATATCCATTTTGTTAAACAAAAATTAAATACATATACTTAACACTTTAAATTAAGCTTCATGTAATTTTTCAAAGATACTCACTATTAATAAAAAATAAACAGGATTAATATTTTCATACTTAAATTTAATATTGTTATCAATTTAATTTTATTCGAAGACTTATTTTTACCATCAATGACTGCGTCTTTATTTAATCTTTTCTATTACTTTGTTACGAAATGACAGTTAATGTAATAATTTTAAGTTAAATTTTCATTGAGATGTAGATATAGCTTTGGATTAACTTTTTATTTGTAAAATAGGATCTAAAAATATCAAATCTGGAATCCCTTCATCTTAAAACATTTACTTCTAACGAAACAAAAATTTGAGATCGACAATGTTCAAATAAGAATTTTTATATATACATGTAGTGAGATTTAATTACAATGTAATACCTAAATACAGACTTTCTTTATAATTAACAATTTAAATGAAATTCTCCTTGACATAAAAACAGTTAAGTTCTTTTTCCTACTATTACTTATTAAGTACAAAAACTTATAAATTGTACATTTCTGTGAAAATTTCGTTAATTTTTTATCTTCAATGCCAAGAAGTCTTTCACAAATTACTTTTTTAGAAGCGTAAGATCTTCTTACGTTTCTAAGAATCGAAGGAACTTCTTGAGATTTTAATAATCATAAGATGTAAAGATATACATGAGAAAGTAAATGGTGTAATACGTAATTTCAACTTGGTAAATTCTCCAAACATTACAAGTCATCTGCATATATCAAGTAAAAGCGATGGTTGTCATGAAATTTTAATTATATTGCAATATTTTATATTATATATTTTAAATCGTATTATATCGGAAATGTGACCTAACAATAATTTTGTCAAACCAGCTATAGAGAATTAAAATCATTGTTTTACATCAGTCCCTAGTTTAACTTGAAACCTAATTATTATCTATCAAATTGTGTTATTATAAATATTTTATCTTGATTTATGTGATGCATCTATTTTAAACATAGATTGAATGTAATAATAATATGTAAGCCTAACGTAAAATAATATAGTTAACATATTGTTAACAAAAAAGTAACAACTTTTACATATTCCATTTACCTTTTGGAAGGTTTTTAAATAAACACGTTGGAAAACAACCCAGTTAGAGTACAAGAGTTTAAAGGAAATTCAAATAGTCCCCACGTGCTCTCATTAATAAAAAAAGACAGCAGATTTTTACCGCCTAGAAAATTAAGATAAATTTGTAAGATTTTTTCAACTGATTGGTCGATTAAGTCACAGCCAATGGTATATGAAGACTTCTCTGATTAGACGCAGTATACATATAAAATGAGTTTTTTACAATAAATTCCTACAAACACAGTGTTAAAATACTGATTATCGAGTTATGTTAGATAAAAATAAAAGGCTCAAAAAAGCCCACAAAGCTAATCTGTAATTTTATTCATTAAAATTAAACTCAATTCAGTAAATTTATGTACGACTTTCTCCATTTAAGACAATATAATACATTGATTACTAAAGTTTTAACACTGAAATATCTTATCTTATCTATAAACGAGATATTACTCTACTGAGTAAATGCTGACTTATAATTTTACAATTATAAGTTTAAAATCACCAACCCGTCTTGAGCAAGCGTGGTGATTAATGCTCAAACCTTCTCCATGAGAGAAAGAGGCCTTTACTCAGCAGTGGGCTCTAATAGGTTAAAAAAAAATGCTGCCGAATATTTATCTACCTTCATATTTTTCGATTCATCGAATAATTCAAACAAAACTCATTGTATCCGTGTATAAATATAACTCGAATGTGAATTTTATGTTTCTAGAGTTCATTTGCGTGACGCCAAAATCTTGAGTTGAAATGACGTCGCTGGAGAGGATTTGTGGACAGCGAAAGTCTATTCAGTGATTGGTTTCTCATTGCTAAGTTACTGGTCTGAGGTCTTTCTAAATTAGTAGTTTTATACTGTTGCGATATGTTCTAAGATCCTTATACAATGGCACAGTTTGTCGAAACTGCAACAACAAGAGTTTATAGCCATATACAGTAGACACTTGTAAGTGTAGTAAATGCTTCGACAAGCCTAACAAGTTACTTTGGCTCCTGTTAAGTAAATCATTCGAATTGAATTCCTTTTCATCTCTGTCCATATTAAAAACAAATAACAGACTGAAACGAACTTATTGCTTTCATATTCATCAACAAATTAAAAAATATGATTTATTTGTAAAATATTCAAAATATATTAAACCCAAAAACTAATATAAGGATTCAAAGAATTTTCTCTATGACTCCTTATTAATTTATTCTTACATGAAGCTTAATAAATTCAGTTATGAATTCCTAGAACGTGTCTTAGTTACAAATATTTCTATTTAATTATTACAAGAAATGCAAATATATGTAAACGAGTATATGTAAACGAATGTTACCTGTATGGTTGTTACTATTTCAAAAAACAGCTACAATATTTTTCATTACAATATAACATTGAGTTTATAGACAAGAAACAAATTATAATTTGTTATATACTTATATATACTTAAGATTTGCGACCAATCGCTTTAAAACCGCGATAAGCAATAAGTATAAGTACATAAAAGCATTATGTGTTAGAAAATATTACATCAAAGTCATTTTCATTTTCTCTTAAAACGGTTGAACAAAATATTCACATAATAACGTCATTTCGATCAAAGCAATTTGCATATTAATAAAGAATATACATCAGTGTACCTATACGTAAAATGTCATGATATTTTCAATTAAGACAGTATATTATGTGTGTTGTTTCATTTAATATTAATTATAGTAAGCTCGTGTTTTAATAACAATTCCACGTAGAAATGAAATTGTTTAATACTATATATTGCCTGCGACTTGCTTCGAAATGAGTTTTTAATGAAGTGGTTAATTGAAATGGGAATAAAATTACTTAATTTTATATATTTAGATATTAACGTAAAAATACTGACTCATAAACACTGCTCAGTTGTGGTATTGTCGTATTTCAAAATACGACTATTTAGGTATGAATAGACATTCATTTAAATTTCTTTTTTACATAGCCAAATTTTTTCTTATATTTTTCAACGTACAGACCGTTTTGTCATGATTTTAATATGTAATATGAGTAGCTGATTCATTTAATATGTATGAAGATGTATCTCGTTATCATTACAGGAACCCACTTGTAAAATAATGTCACGATAATGTCGACAGATTACTTTTAATGAGAAAATTTGAAGCTCAGGAAAACAGCTAAGAGGTTTTATATTGTATATACAGAAAAATATTAAAATGTATTAAAATCGATTCAAAAGATAGAAGTCGTAATAATTGACTTCTTATGTATTTTACTTGTATGCGGTTAATTTTTTTTTAGAGATCTCTATTATCCTACATTACCGTTCTATTTTAAAAATTGATAGCATTATGTTCTTATCTGCCTAAATAATGTGGTGGGCCAATGTAGCAATTACTGTTAAATTTATTTTGCTCTCAATTTTATCATCTTTTAAAATTTTCCAAATTCCCTTTATGCATAAGTTCATAAAACGTTGAACTTTTGTTCTGAATCGTGGTAGTTAAACCACTTTCGTGAAATTAGTTGCTCTCGGTTAAATATAGTAAATTGTGTGCTAATGACTTTAAAAACATTTTAGGAACAATTTAGTAGTGTATTCAGTTATTCCATTGACAAAAAGTTCTCTAACCAACAACTACGTTGAATGACTTCTATTTGTATAATGTGACCGGAAGATGCTAGTTGCCGAAGGCTCATGGCAATTATAACTTATTCTATTGTTATTAAGCAAGTACAAGGGAAATTAGATATTTGAACTAATTTTATAGGAATCTAATTATGTATATAGGAAAGTATAGCGAATTATCGACATTATTTTAGACTCTATTCGTAATCTGGATAGGTTTAAAAAAAATATTTACTTTTAAATGGCTCATACAAAAATATAAGAAACTTAAAATTACTACGTGTGGCATTAAAATAATTTGTTTTTAATTTTGTTGCTGCCGGCCAGAGGTTTCAGGAAAATTGGCAAAATTAAAAATCTCCCTGCAACGCGATGGACCCGGCACCCGCACGGTGAATCCATTGAATGCTAAGAGGTTTCGTCTCATATAAGAATGCTTTAATATAAAAAAACATATCTCAAACTTATCACCCATACGTACACCTGTGTGACTATCCTAATAATATAAGGAAAACAATTACATAATGTTTATTGTGTGGGATCTGAAATTTTCCTGTTCGCACAGCTAGGTGATGTTTTAACCTAAGGCTGTAGGTATGTAAACGGTGGTAATTTTCAAGCATTATTTAAAGTGAGTGTTATCCAAGTTTTATGTGTACATTTAATAATTTAAAAAAAATGGCTGCAGAAATAGATATACAATCAAAACGAACAGCTAAAGTTAGAATTTTATGTGAAAAATGGATTCATTTTCAAAACCACAGAGTTGTTTATGAAAATTCAAGAGTTTCAGCTTGAAAACATCAGTGTACCTTCAAAATACTAGATCACTCACGATGACCCTACTCGCCGGATCCCCACCATGGGACCTGGAAGCTAAGGTGTACAGGTGCAGGTGGCGCGGGGAGATACTGAAGAGAGGCGCGGAGGTCTCTCCAGTAGAGGTAGATTTAGGGGCTCTTTAATTTAGGGGGCACCTTGTACTTACAAAATAATTTCTGAGATTTATCGCCTTGTTCAAGAGGGAACTGTATTAGGCTACATTGAAAATTATGTAATGATGAAATTGGTGAGATCAAAAGCGAACGTGAAAGAATCTTAAGATGTTGGAAAAAAAACTAAAGATTTCCTTAAGTGCCGTGCTATGGAGAAGGTCTAGGTTAAGCAGCGAATTGATTACAAGTAATGATGATGCTATGTATAAATGTCGGAGAAGTGTCACAACCTTGGTTTTAAAAAGCATAACATCAGCATGACGTTACGAATGCCTAAGTTCTTGATTGTCGTTAGGTTCTCGGGCTAATAAAGAAAGCCCCGCGCACGGTTTGATTAATCCTTTATTTCGTAGACGTCCGACCCCAGCAACGGCTCGAGCGAGAATGACTATTATTTATCTCGTCACCTCGGTTTTGGTTGGCAACCAACACTTATTGTTGTGACTCTACTTGCAAAGGTGGTTAAACGTAGGTAACACGTGATAATTTTAACTATCGATAATTGTTAATTACGTCAATAAAAGGTATTCGCCCGACATATAAATAATATAATAAAATACATATTTTCATTCAACGAAAAGTTATTCACTTATTTTTCTAATTTATTTTAAAACCAAATAATTTTGTGAAATCCGTGTGCAATCTCAACATTTAACGACACTTAAGAACAGCACATTTGGCAACGTATTTAACCTCTCAATACTATGGTCTTGCATCAAGGCTTATATGTATATCTTATTTGCATAATATCCCTTTCCAACACGTATTGGCGGAGTGACAGCGTCATTAGCTTTAATTAGCCTGTATCAAACGAAAATAGCTATATCCTAATTTATATTACATACCCGATATAAATAATTTCCAAGAGATGTAGGAACAACAATATGTATTCCTTTACTAGCTTCAAAAACCATACAAAGACAAGATTCAAAGAAACGCTTTAAAATAGATGTTATAAAAGATCAAGAAGCTTAATTTTCAGTCACAAAAAGTGACGAAAAGAGCAAGAGTAATTATTCCTATTGATAAGAGTTTTTATACGAAAAAAAATGTATAATTTAACCTTCGGCATACAAGGTGGGGTTATTTTAACCCCAACACTTTTAAATTGTGTTGATTTTATATTAAAACGAAACTAAACAACTTGATTTTCACAGTAGCTGGAGATTAAATATTGCCGCGTTAAATCACAGCGTCGGATCAGTGTTGCGCGCGCCAGCGCCGTGTGTACACGCGCCCAAAGTGGTTCCCGGGTGTTTTTAACCCCACGTTGTATGGGTCGTCGTGAAAAAAGTTTGTACCTACTTATGTGTTTTTTATGTTTTTACAGCTACAATAAGTGTTTTATTTATACTTTTTTATTTTTATTTCAGGTATAGATCGTCAATATGAATAATAACCTGCGGGATGATAGTATTGCTGCGGCCTTATTGGAAGAAAATGAATCTTTGTCGGATGATGAAATCTTTCTGCCTTCTAGTGATGACGAATCGGATCATATCAGCGAAGCTTCTGAAGTTCCAAGTGATACGGACGTGGAAGATGCCGAAATAAACATTGAACCACATTCAGATGATACGACATCAACACTTCAACCATTTTATCTAGGAAAAGATGGAAGAACAAAGTGGTATAAATCGCCACCGCGAACCAATGTTCGAACAAGGGCCGAAAATCTTATTACTCATTTGCCTGGATGTAAATATGCAGCTCGACATAAAAAAACTCACCAAGAATGCTTCGAGACCTTTTTCACTGATGAAATCGTTGACATTGTTTTGAAGAATACGAACCAGAAGATTTCTTTGAGAATGGAGAACTCTACGTCTAATTCAACATACGGGGAAACTGACAAAGCTGAGATAAAAGCCGTTTTTGGGCTGTTGTTCTTGGCAGGGTTGTTTAGATCTGGTCGGCAAAGTCTTATAGACTTATGGAGTAATGACGGCACAGGAATTGAAGTATTTAGAAATACTATGACGAGGCAAAGATTTTCGTTTTTGATAAATAGCTTGAGATTTGATGATTCATCAACTCGTACAGCTAGAGTGGCTGACGATCGCTTGGCTCCAATTCGAGATATTTTTGAAATATTCGTCAAAAACTGTCAGAATGCCTATACACCGTATGAATACTTGACCATAGATGAAGAACTCGTGGCATTTAGAGGAAGATGTAGCTTTCGTCAGTACATGCCATCCAAGCCAGCTAAGTATGGGTTGAAAATTTACGCGTTAGTGGATGCTAAAACATTTTACACAATGAACTTGGAAATTTATTGTGGAAAACAGCCTGACAACAGTCCTTATACAGTGAGTAATAAGCCTTTTGATGTTGTCGATCGTTTGGTGAGATGCGTGTCTGGATCAGGAAGAAACATCACCATGGATAACTTTATTATGAGTTATGAAACAGCTGAAAATTTGCTCAAAAACCACAAATTGACTGCCGTTGGTACACTAAGGTCGAACAAGACATGCATTCCACTCCAGTTCAAGGCTCGACGTGAAGAAAAATCATCTGTTTTTGGATTTCAAAAAGACATTACTATTGTATCCTACATACCAAAGCCGCGAAAATGTGTACATATGATGTCCTCATTACATCATGATGATGAGGTGGATCCAGAAAGCGGAGACCAAAGAAAACCGTCTATCATCACATTTTACAACTCGACAAAAAGTGGAGTTGATGTAGTTGATAAACTTGCGAGAACATACGATGTCTCCCGCAACTGTAAGCGCTGAACCATGTTGAACCATGCTGGTATAAATGGTTTTATTGTGTATATGCTGAATAATGGCATTGAAAGGAACAAAACCAATCTAAGGAAGAACTTTATCAAGCGATTGGGACTTTCTTTAATCGAAGAGCACCTCAGGAAAAGAAAGGATAATCCACATATACCACGAGAAATAAGAAGACATGTGTGTGAAATGCTGAATGAAGAAGCTCCAGCACCACCACAAAAGCAACCAAGAAGGTCTCAGCGATGTTCTTTCTGTCCAAGAAACAAAGATAGGAAGACTCTGAACGGATGTTTCAAATGTAATGTCGCGATATGCAAGGAACATGCGAATTTGATGTGTCAAAATTGTACTGATTTACATGACGAATGATCTCGCTCAAATAGCCATAAAGAGCTAATTGTGATGTTTTTTATAAAGCCAAATATAGTTAGTTTTAGTATTATAAGTAAAATAATTAAGATAAGTATGAGAAATATTTTTGTTAATTTTTTATTCCATCTAATAACATTTTGTAAGATTTATGGAGAGGTTATGTAATTTTTAAGTTTTTTTTATAATAAATGTTTAATTTGCTACTTTTTGTACTTCATTAATTAGATTTAATTATACCCGTCACAAAAAACCCATTCAAACTTATTACATAAGATTTACACACAGATTAGAGATAATCTCTTGTGGGGTTAATTTTACCCCACGTTGTATAGGTGAGGATTTTTTTTCACCTTGTATGCCGAAGGTTAAATAATATATAACTCCATATAAAAATATGTAAATACAAATAATGTAAATAGAACAAGTAGCAACCCAGGCAATTGGTTTTGTTATCTCACTGTCAACAGTTGACATTTTAGCAACCAAAGTATTTGTTTTATTCCCAAAGCAGCTACTGACGTCATTTTATCAAACCCTTCTCAAAGAAGCTGCCACGAAGGTTAATTAAAGGAAGATAATAATAGTGGCTTTTAAGTAACGTTTTGCAAATTGTAGGCTAAAATGAATTTCCCCTTACCTGGAAAACATTTTTTAAACTGACTACCTTTGAAAATTTAAATCAAATTCCTCTTGGTTTCCAAGAACTTTGCTTCATATATACGGGGCTAAACATGAGTATTTATAATTCTAGGTATGTGTAATTAAAGCTTAATATTTTATTTGTATCTGCTTTGATCATTATAAAAAATAATTATTTATTATAAACACGTTTTAGGTGTTCTTTTGTAAAATATAATGACATAAGTACTCTTTAATTATTTCTTAAATATTCATCAATGTATCAGTTCAAAGAATATGAAACAAATGTAAATAATTCCTAAATTTCATGAATGATTCCAGTCATTATATAAAATTTAACATTATAATAATTATGATGGTTGGTTGGTTGGTTTTAATGTAAATATTTTATGCCCAATATGTTAACCGACATAATGAAAAGCAAATAGCACTAACAATTTCCACTAAATGTAATATGAATGCAACCTACGTTTTCTCACAAAGACAGTTATGCTCAATGTAATTGAAATATTCTGGGGGATGACTTTTTTACATTATATAATATATGACCCTTGTTTATATATATTGCTTTAGACGAATATATTTGAATATTTTAAAAAATAATTCGTAGAAAAATATTATCTATTATACTATTCGGCTAGGATTGTAGGATTTAAAACTTTCTTTACATTTTTTCATGGAAAAACGTAATATAATTAAAATAAAATTGAAATGCTTTGGACATATCCCTATTTTAAGCTACTTTTCCTGATGTACTTTTATAAACAGTTAATGAAGAAAATGCCGAAATAACAATAAATTGTTATAATGCATACTTTTCTGTGAAAACAATAATAATTTTAATGCAGGCTTATTAATATTGGGTACAATAAGCAATTTTTGAAGCATTCTATGCCAGAATTATCTTTAATACTTACAGTGATTGTTGTTGGAATACAGCTGAAATATTTCTTCCAAGAAACTATACATTGATGTAAATTTAAACATATTTCATTAGTTTCAAATTTAATGTTCAATTTAAAAAATATATATACATATTATATGCTTATGGGTTTAAATACCTCTTTGGGTTAAACACATATAAATAATGTAAGGCTTTTTATATATAATAAATGGTGTACATTTGTCAGAAAAAACTGTTAAAAGGCAGATTTGAAACCACAACACGTGGGTAATAAACGAGACTAATGGCCGCCTGTCTGTTCTTGCTTATTAATTATGATGTATTATGTTTTCTGTGTACATTTGTAATTTTTGTTTTACTTCAATATCTGTAGATAACTGTCCTTTGTATGAAAATTACTTGTTAAAAAAAATCTCAGTAATATTGATACTTTTTTCAATAATATTGCAGTACAAAGTATAAATTTTAATCGAAAACGAATTAATTATCACGCGAATTGAGTACAAAGGGTTAGTACAAACCTTTCCAGGATAAATTAGTTAAAATATAATTTTAGTAGATGCTATAAGTTACACATACATTGGGTAGACATGTCATAATCTTCTATCTTCTATATATATAAAAATGGATTGCTGTTCCTTAGTCTCGCTAAAACTCGAGAACAGCTGAACGGATTTATCTTATCTTAGTCTTGAAATGTTCGTGGAGGTTCAGGGAAGGTATAAAAGCTGAAAAAAAAATATTAATTACTGGGAAAACCATAAAAACAGCCCTTTTCTATTTCCCATACAAACGTTTTTTTTGACATTAGATTTGACAACTAACTAATATGTCAATCATTCTGTCGCACTTCAAAACACGGAGATTTATAGCTCACAGATAAACTCCAAAAATATAAATAAAAAAACGTAATAGATATTTCTTGATTATAGAGCGATACGAATTCGCCAGGTCTTCTAGTCTTCTATATATATAAAAATGCGTTGCTGTTCCTTAGTCTCGCTAAAACTCGAGAACAGCTGAACGGATTTGTCTTATCTTAGTCTTGAAATGTTCGTGGAGGTTCAGGGAAGGTATAAAAGGTGAGAAAAATTGGAATAATTGCTTAATCCGCGAGACTATTGAAATTAAAAACTCCCCAATTTCAATAGAGAAGATGGCTGGAACCTATCAAACACCTGGGATCCTCTTCTTAAAAATATAAAATCCCATGTCCGTGACCACACCGCAGAACCTCGAGACACCGTGAGCGCATTCTGCCGGTATCCAGAGCGGTACGCAAGAAAATTAAGAAATCGATGGCGGTAGGAGATAAAATAACCAGACCAACTGACAGACACTCACGTCTCGTCTGCCCGTGATCACGGTTGCTGAAAAGTAGCCGAAACGTCGGGAGTATGTAGTTCGTAATCAAAAATAAAAAACGCGAAGTAAAATCCGAAAATATTAGTTTCATTTAAATATAAAATTACATTAAGTACATGGCAATAAAAAGAAAAGTTATATCTTAAAAAATAATATTTTCTAAAAAAATAAAACTTAATTTGAACTCATACAGCGTTTATTATGTATACTTGTTTTTAAACCTTTTAACTTTGTACGAAATTATTTTACGAATAAATATACACACATGTAAAAGAAAACCTGCTTGCAAAGATGGTCTTACAATTTAGAAACCTTTTACTAACCTTAAGTAACGGAAATTAATGCAAACAATAGGTCCTTAAAATTATAATAGATATCTAAACTAATATAACTTAACATAACACAAATATTGTTATTGAAAAGGATAAATAGTAGTTAAGTAAAAAAAATACGAAGAGCCAAGGTATTGAGATTATGGACTGCATCTGGGATATTTTTCCATTGCTTGAGTTTATGAGTGAGAAATCAGTTAGATCTTTTATTTGGTCCAAATGAAATACGTTTAAATTTTTCTTCACCTTGGAGGACTATTTTGTTGGTTGATTGGTTGTTTTAAATATGGACTTCATCCGTTCAATTAGGTACGAAATTGTATAAAATACTTTATGTGATATGTTTATTACTTAACAGATTCATTAAGTTACGCAAGGAATAAAAAGATGCTTTCATTTTTATTTATTATTTGATAACAATTGAGCGTTTACGCTTTCTTTAGAAATGTAAGCAAAGATTCGTAGAAAACATTTCAATCCTACCATATGGGAACTCCACTTAATGGCTTTTTATATTGTTATTATTTTATTCGCAACCATTCTCTCCACTCGTTATACAAGAGCATTAACGCCGCTCCCGGGTGTCATAGCACATCAATAAATGAATAATCAACAATGACAAGGTAAATCAAAACAAAGCGAGATTCTCATATAATCCCCCCCCCCCCCCAAATTATATTATCTATAGTCTCCGCCTTTAAATGTGGTAGTGCCAATCACGATGGGCCACGATGAATCACTATACAGGGTGACTGGTGAATTACTATCGATACTTGAGGACCTGATATTTGACGATCATACATGAAAAAAGAAAAATTAATATAACATAAATATTAATAAACTTCTAAGTAAAGTTAACCAAAAGTTATGTAATTAATTAAGCATCGTATGAACACCCTACAGATTAGGTACACACACACACACACACGCGCGTGCGGGGCGTGGTGTTGTATCAGCACGCCGCCGCACGCGTCCACAGTTGGAACATTTGGATCGTGTCTACAGTTTATTTATTTATACGGAAATTTGGTCAAAAATTAAGTACCTATTTTTTTTTACATAATTCGGATGAGAATCATGTACCGAGTATTCTCCTTAAATATTGATAGTAATTCACCAGTCATCCTGTATATAGTGTTTTTGGACATACATAAGTTTAACCTTTAAACTATATAAGTGTTAAAAGTGGACGACCATTACCAAAGATTCAGTACGAAGCCGTCTTTGTGTTTAAGATATATATAGCTTTTTTAATATATATAAAAGGATTCTTTAATATATAAAACTTATTCACTAGGCCCACAAACACAATAACACAAAATGCATAACACAGCCTGTAAACAAAAATGAAATACAGATCAAATATTCTGACTATTCTGACGCAATAACTTTTCCTTTCGGCTAAATTGTTACCAATTGTATAAAGAAGTTTTTACCTTCTTTCTTTTGAAACGTGGTTAAGCACTTTGCGCTTGTAAAAACTTTCCTACACACAACATATTTATGAAATTCACTTCCGAGTCATAATAACAGTCTAAAATGTTCAAAACATTTTAAGCAAACATTTAAACAGAACAACTTTATGAATTTATATTATTAACAATTAAAATATCTATTTCAATAAGCATTTGAATAAATTTCTTTTTATAATAATTATTTTTAGTTTTACTTCTTACTATTTAAGTAACATATTTAGTTGAAAAGAAACACTTTGTTCTAACTAGAACAAAAAAGGTTAATCTTAACGAAGCTTCGTC